GGGAGAGAGGAGAGAGGAGAGAGGAGAGGGGAGAGAGGAGAGGGGAGAGGGGAGAGGGGAGAGAGGAGAGAGGAGAGAGGAGAGAGGAGAGAGGAGAGAGGAGAGAGGAGAGGGGAGAGAGGAGAGGGGAGACATGAGAGGGGAGAGAGGAGATAGTAAAGGGGGGAGAGGAGAGAGGATAGCGGAGGAGATGAGAGAGGAGAGGAGACAGTAAACAGGAGACAGGAAGGGTGAAGGGGAGAAGGGGAGAAGAGACAGGGGACAATGGAGAGGAGAGATGAGACAGGAGAGAGGCGAGAGGAGGCAGGAGGCAGAAGAGCAGAGTCAGGAGGCAAGGGAGGGGAGAAAGGAGACAGTAGAGAGAAGGCAGGGGAAGAAGACAGCAGACAACAAGAGCAGGGAGTGGATAAGAAGACACGCAGATTAATGTCTGTGAGGCGGAGCAGGGCACAGCTTATAGAGTGCTGAAAGACTCTCTCCCACCAATGCTGCCTCTTGACTCTCAGAGACAGCTGCCAGAGACAGCACGCGAGCAGGAGAGGGAGAGAGACACGGAGCAGCGAGCATGAGAGAGAGAGATACACGGAGCAGCGGGCAGGAGAGGGAGAGAGACACGGAGCAGCGAGCATGAGAGAGAGAGAGATACACGGAGCAGCGAGCAGTGGGGCTCAACTCTCGTGGCGCTTGCTTTCCCTATCGGAGCTATCTGAGCTTCCTGAGACTCTGACATAGGCAGCAGAGAAGCAGTCAGTCATCAGATACGGAGCTCCAACGTTGCATGATGGTCGCTGTGCTAATCTTGGGCTTTCCCGGACTGGCCACAGACAGGAAAGAAACAGAATCAAATCGTGATCTCCAGCACCAAAGCTCTGGTGAAGATTTTATCTCAAACAATCCTCGAGAGGCCAATGAAAGGGGTGCGATGATGAAAATATATTACTCAAGAACGCCGCGATCATGGGGGTTTGTGGGTCACGAGGCGATGTGCTCCTCCCACAGCATGATGTGCAGTGTCCGTCAATGTCAACGGTTGCCATTTGGTCCTGAACATAGTTGTGGGGTTGCTGTTCGTCCCCGTAACATTTTGTCGACGTGTGACGCAACAAAGAATTCAAATCATCGTTACTTCAAGGCTCAGGGAGTTCCCAAAAAAGGTGTGCTTCACCCAACGTCGGACTCGGAAAACAGTTGTAAAACGTCCTCGTCAATGTCGGCCTTCAGGTGAATAGTTGACCCTTTTTCCCGCGGGTTTCCTAATTTAAGAAGCCAAGCGAATAGCTTACGTCCGGCGGTAGGACTACTCACCAAGAACTGTCGCGAGCTCGGTGAATTGATAATTCAGCTTGTCGCGACGCAATTTCTCTCTGTCTGCTTTCTGAAGCTTCTTATCGGAAATTCCGTCGCCTCCGCATCCCTTACCCCCCTCTTCTTCCGATCCCGCTGATCTTAGGCTAATAACTCGTCGTAACTCATCGTCTGTCATCGTTGCAAAAAAAAATGAAATGACAACACAAGAAACACGGACTTTTCTTCCAAAGAGCCGAGCTACGAAACTGCTACGGATAGTAATCCTCCATTCCAAAAGTCACCTACTTTCTGGGGCACACAGAAAGAGATTCCGTGGCTTCACGCGCATGACTGTGCAACAAAAGCATCTGTGCCAGAAGTTGTGAACTTCCAGCCTGAGTTCTCACTCCGTGGCTTGCTAAGCTGGTTGGGGAACCAAACCTCACTCCCTCTCCAGCTCGAAGTTCAGTACAGCTCTCCACGTGAGTGGAGAGATAAGTTGCGACTAGTCGTCTCGCCACTCGTCACTCTCAACTCATCCAGGCTGGAAGGAAAACGCTTCAATTGTCGCAGAGGATCGAAGAGATCACGAAAATGTGGCGTCCACGGACTCCACGCACGGGAGTGAAAGCTGGGGGCTGTCGCGCAGCAAACGGACAGCCAAGGTAGCGAGAAGGCAGACAAACAAGGATAAGATAGGATGGGTCGATCGACCCTTGAGAAGGCGAAGCGATCTTTGAGGGGCATCCATCCATTTCGTTGTGTGGCGTGTGTGGTGTGGTGTTGAAAGGAATGCGATTTGTAGATTGGGATGCGATGCGATGCGTGTTCGGGCGAGAGAAATTCCAAGAAAATTTACTGTGAAGGCGAGCTAAAGTAGCACAATGACTCTTCCCAGTTTTGCTGGAAGGTAACATCCGACTTTGACGCTTACGCCTAATCTACGTGAGGGTATGTTGAAACATAACTCTTTTCTGAAAACACGGCAAGGCTCGGTTGCTTATTTTTTCGTGTTGTACAGTACATGCGTGGCATTACAGAAAGCATCCAAAACCCTCCACTTGCGATGGGGCCCGCTAATCAATGCCAACCACACTTCGCAGCTGTATTCAAGTTCACCCACCACCGAAGCTGGTTCGGGCTCCACTGTGTCTTCCTTTTCTAATTTGAGTGCACTTTGTTTCCTTGTTTGATAGCCTAGAAAACTGGACTCCATAAGAAACAATTATCCAAACTGACTGTGTTCTTATGGACTACTGAAATTGAAGAGATAGTTACGGGGCCTGTGTAGCGGTTGAGGCTGCTCAAGATGAAGACCCGAAATTAGTGCAGACATGTCATATTTCAACCTAAATAAAAGTCGGATTTCGCTACACAAGATGCTCAACCCCTGCGCGCGAATTTGCCCTTCAAAAAATAGAAAGTCTGCACCCGTGTTTTTTTTACCAGCCAGTTGCACTCACATTACAAGCTCCTCGAGCAAGTTGCAGTGGTTATGAGCCAATACGAACCACAGAAACCGAAGTCACACGGAAGAGACCGAAGTCAAAATGTCAACGGGGAGTTACAAAGTTTTTATAAGCTCCTTTTTGCTAGGTGCGACGTTGACGAAATTTGCGAATTGCTTAGAATCACTTAAAAGCCCTCTTCACAAGGCAACCTTGGGTTAGTCAAACGGGCATCGTGTGTATCCTTTTGGCCTACGTTGTACACCCTCTTTCTCGCCAGACTGACAATGGGAAGCACTGGCTACAGTGCGTACTGTTGCTTGGACCCTAGCGTACTGTTGCTTGTACCCTAGCGATCGGGTGCTTGCAACCAAACGCCAGGTAGGTGGCGGGCAAATGCACTCCAGAGGAACGGTACACAACGTTTTATGGAAGGAAACGTGCGCTTGTGTACGGTTGAGTGCGGCAAATGTGCTTATATGGTATGTTCTGGGACCATTCTGGACGCATTGATGTCAGTACAGCCGGTCCGTCAATATGGCCAATGTCAGTTTGGCGAGAAAGAGGGTGACGGTGTTCCATCCGATCGAGTTTGAGGAAACCCAAACTTCAGCCATGTCACTACTCAGCCAACCACCGCACACGTGCTGCCAGGCCTTGATAAACCGTTGTCTACGTCAGGGATGCACAATTTTCGTGTGGGTCCTTTCCTTCGCAGCTGGTGAAAGTGTGACGGCGAAGACGTTTATGTACATGGCATGTGTTCCCGCGGCAGTCTAATAAAGGAATTACAGGCTAACCTGGGGGCTGTCCCGTCAAACTGATTAATTGACAAGCTTTGCAGGCTAACTCTGCCAACAAAGGGGAGCGAGTGAGAGTGGGAAAAATATACGGATCCAGAAAGAGTTTGTACACATTGTGTCCGAGAACAAAAAAAAAACACAAAAGAAAACCGGCGGTGAATCACCAACAACCGCCTGCTCTGAATGATTGGTAGCATTGCCCCGCTGATCTTGATAAGGTTCCTCGGATCCAATCAGAAATCATTTTCGCTCCTCGCGACTGCTCTGGGCACAAGAGTTTTCAAACGCGAGTGGCGTCAGTTCCGGTAACTGTACACTGTACAGAACAAATTGCTCACAACAATGGGAATTTATGGCTGACCTCTCGAATGTTGTTGGTGGGATGCTGACTGCGACGAGCAGCCCCATCGGTTCGATCACGTGCGTGATCTCATGTGTTTGCTTGGCTCCCCTGGACTCTGCTTGGCAGCACCGAGCAGCACATCGCGTGCTCGGCGTGGTGGCACTCACTGCAGACAAATCCAAGAAAACGGCGCCAGTGGAAAAAACCAACCCTTTACGACGAGAGGCGACAAATCACATATTTCCTCAAGTACTGTAAACATTGCTTTTCGCTAGAGTGGCATCGGGTGTAGAGCACGGTTCCTAGAACCTCATTGTACCAAGGAGGACGATTTCACACACCATATATAGTCGCATCTCGTTTAAAGTAGTTAGGTTATGTAGTTCTCATTCCGCGTTGGACTTTCCAGCTATCGCTGGTTGGGATATTCATCAACAACACAAACTTGGGGACACTCAATAAAGAACTCACGAAAAGGACGGTTTTTAATTCTAGTCAGCCTTCTGTTAGAAAGCTGGATGGACACCTGCAAAGAGAGCACACCTAGTCAGGCAGAAAATGAATTTAAAAAGGACAGCAGTGATGGATAGATGTTAAAGCCCGCAGCCCAAGTTGCACATGTTTTAAAAGCTTGACATGGAGTCGTTCAGTTTCGAGGTTGTGACGAGAGTTTCTATTTCGTCAATTTCGCTTTTCTCGCCAAACCCAACCAATTCTAGTCTGTTCCCCCGGTGGGTGCTCGACTGTCCCAAATTGCAACTTTTGTTCTCTCAAGTTTTCAAACTCCTCCCCGTCAAGTTTTAAAACCTTGACCTGCGCGATTCGCAACTTGGGCCGCGGGTTTTAAGACCAGTGCAGTCAGAGCACGTAGAGGACAAGCTGGCTGTCATGTCATGACACGCCAAGTCTTCCACCTTCACGGTATTTCCCCCTCACTTGTCATCCTCATCAGTACTCTCTCAAACCTTTGAAATCCTCGTCAGGCAGAGAGGCATAAGCAAAGGGCTCTAACTTGTACTCATCGTCGACATAGAACTTGCTTATTAACTCAATTCGTTGCTGCAGCCTGAGCGCGTGCAGAATGGGTTGACAACCTCAACCCTCCTAATCTCCCAACTCCTAGTCCTCATCATCAGGCAGAGAGGCAAATGCAAACGGCACAAACTGGTACCCGTCGCCGACATAGAACTTGTTCATGAACTCCACCCAGTGCAGCCTGAGTGCGTGCAGGAAGGCACTGAGTGTCTCCATGAGCAGCAGCACACCCACTGTGGCCGCTGCAAATACCAGCGACCCAATCAGAATGGCTAACACGTTGCCAGAGCTGCCAGGGGAGCATGAGATGCGGGGTTGGAGACAACGGGGTGAGGGGGAGATGGGGGCAGTGGGAAGGGGAAGGGAAGGGGAATTGGGGAGCAAAGGAGGAAAGGGGGTGGGAGACGAGAGGGATTGAGGCGATAGGAGAGGGGAAGGTTGGTTCAAGAGGCACCCACGAAACCGGGTGAGGGTTGCAAGACATGCAGGACATTGTGGGAGGCGAATCGATCACAAATGCAGACCCATGTGCCATGCATGCACGTGTAACACAACGGATACACGGAGGTGAGCATACAGCCATTTCGAGGACAGACGATGGTGGGATAGAGAGCGAGAAAGGGACAGCACCGATGGGACAGTGGGGGGAGGGAGGCACAAGTGGGAGAGGCAGCCATGTATAACATACGCGAGGGCAGGTTCCAGGACTCGCTCGTAGAAGACCGCTGAGAGCTGCGCGTGTGCCAGACTGCAGACAGAGGACGGGTCATGAGTGACACAGAGTTTACAAGTTTGTAAAAGGAATTCATGATATGTGGAGACTCAAACTGAAACTTGCAGAAGACGGGTGCGAACTGCGCGTGCTCATGATGTTTAGGAAATGACGAATTGATTGAAGACAGCGCTTGGGGCGGTTCGAACATAGGCCAGCAGCAGATGGCTGAGAGCTGAGGGAATGCAGGAGAGAAGGCATGAGGGAGAGAGTCGGGGCGGGTGCGGGATGGGGAGGGCGAGTGTGCTCTTGATGCCACATGCACAGCATGCACTGCAGCACAATATGATTCACCCGAGACAACCTACCTGAGACTGTTCACGCGAAACGATATATTTCAAATTATTCACCACACAATTTACCCAAGCCGAATCACCCAAGACAGTTCACCCGAGAAAATTCACCTGAGCGCCCAAAGCCGGAGGTAGGAGGCGGTGTTGGAGACAGCCCCGAGCACAAACTCGATGCAGTGAATCATCTGGTGCACCATCACCTCCCCGAACTCAAACTCCTCCTCCTCGCCCTCTTCCTCCTCCCCGTTCGCCCCCGCCTCGCCCTCGCTGCCTGGCAGCGCGTGGTATGTGCGCCCTGCCATCTTCTGGCGGGGGATAGGGTGGGGGAAAGGGAGAGGGAGGCGGAGCGGGATTGGGAGAAGGATTGGGAGAGGGAGGGGGAGAAAGTGTTTAGGTGCACCCTGCCATCTTCTGGAGGGGGGAAGTGGCTGGACGCATGTTATGGGCTGCATACATTGAAGGAGTTGGACACATTGACGAGTGGTGGCGTGGTGGTAGGTATGGTTGACAACAAATCCACCCACACAACATGTTGGTTGGGTGAAAACCAAGCGTGCGAGAGAGTAATTGGAAGCAAGGTTTCGCTGGCGGGCAAGCGCACAGTGCGTGTGTCTAACGGTATCAGGAAAGCGGGGAGAGGGAGGGAGGGGGGGTGGTGGGTTGGGTGGAAAAGGGGGGAGGTGTAGGACAATGGGGATAGGGCGAGAAAAAGCTACCCCCATGTGTTGCTCTCTTCCCTCAACCCATCGCTCTCTTCCCTCACCCGCATCCCTCGCTCACCCCCTCCCCCCTTGGATCCCCAACGCTCTCTTCCTTGCCTCGCCCCCATGCGCCTCGTGTCCCCTCACCTGGATGTGCTGGGCGCGGAGGATGAGGGGCTTGGGCAGCAGCATCCACGGCACCGCAATGAGCGCGATGAAGAGAAGGATAATCTGCCACACACACACGCACGGAGCAACAAACATGTTACATGCACGCACGCCAACCATGTATGCACACACGCACGCATGCACACACAAGGCAGGGGGGCGATTGGACCCAAGACGGATTTTTAAAAGCCATGGGAAGACCTGGGAGCATGGGTCAGGCCGATTGAACCTGCACATGCACACTTGCCTGACCTGCAATCTCACACCAGCCACATGTCCCATTCATGCTATCAATACTCTCGCTTGCTCACAGAATCACATGCCTTCATTCACTCACACTTTCACATACCCTCTCTCATACTATCACATACTCTCACTCACTCACATTACGTGCCCCTCTCTCTCCACCAGACGCTGCCTCACGCCTTCATAATACCTCAACTCAGCAGGCTCTCACCCTACAGGTCCGCCTGGGAGCTGCAATGTCCTCCCTTGCACTAACTCGTGCATTCATTCTGACCCCCTCAGCCCACTTGCCCTGATCTGCACTCTCCTGCACTTTACCCCTTTGGCTCATCTGCACTGCTCTGCGCTAATCTACATTCCATCTATCCATCTATCCTCTCACCTGCACCTGTTCTCACCTGCACGGTGCCCTGGCCGTAGAACAGCGCGTTGTCCCCCAGCGGCTCGACGGGGTTGAGGAACATGTAGATCATCACGTGGTACAGGTCTGCCTGGGAGCCGGTGACCCACTTGAGGATGATGAGCATCGACAGGTAGCCGAATAGCGAGCCCAGGAAAAGCATCTGCGGGATGAACTCGTACCTGCGGGGGGGAGAAGTGGAAGGGGGGAGGGGGGGGGAGGAGGGGTGCAATGGAAAAGGGCGAGAGACTGGACTGAGGCAACGGAAATGATGGATGGGCATGGAGAGGTGGCCGAAGAGCAAGCCCAGGAATAGCATCTTCGGGATGAACTCGTACCTGCATAGAAGGGGGGGAAGAAGATGGGGGGGGTGGGTGGGGGGGAGAGGAGGGGGAAGAAGCGAGGGGAAAGGAAAATGGAAAGTGTGAGAGGAGGGTAAGGACGAAAGCAATAAGGGAGGAAAAAAAAAGGCCTAAAAGACAAGCAGAAGAACAGAAGCCAAGCTGAAAGACCAAATGTTGAGAAAATGCTGCAGGCAAACATTGCAGCTGATGCACGTGCACCATTCAGCTTGGCGTGCCGACTAGATACCGCCATTCGTACCATCCAGACGCTGCTCAAACAGGATGTTCCCGACTGACACTAACTAGACGTTGGTGGCAGAGACTGACCAGATGTTGAGGGGCTTCTTGAAGAACTGGGCGTTGAAGAAGGAGAGGATGATGCCGGCAAACATCTGTGTGACGCCGAGGATGATGCTCATCTTCATCTTGAGCGAGTTCAGGAACGGCAGCTCCGTGCGCGACCCCTTCCACGCCGGGTCCACTCCAAACAGGTACGTCGCCCCATCCTTCACCAGCCCTGCTGTGCCCGAGTCACTGGAAACGGGTATGGGCGGGTGAGGATGACCAGATAATTTATACACGTGAGAATCAGCAGCTCCGGTCGCAAACCCTTAGATTGGGGATCGAGAGAAGATATCAGTCAAGTACCACGTCTTCCATCCATGTGGTACTACCATGACTTAAAGAGAGAAGATGGATGCAAAAGTTGTGCCTGTCGTGGATATGTGTTGCTCACAATCAGGTGCGGGAACGAAAGAACGTGGGTGGGGCATACGTGCAACAGGGAGAGAGGGAAGGAAAGGTAGGGAAGTTATGGAAGGGAAGGGGGGAAACGACCGGAAGAGGAGAAACGGAAGGGAGAGAGATGGGACGGCAGTCGAGCATGGGGGGGTGGTAGGGCGGGTAGGGAAGGAACAGAAGGGGAAGCAAGGAATGGAGGGCAGAGAAAGCAGGAGCACTGACTGGCAGTCGGGCGTGCGGCAGTGGTAGGCGGTGCCGCCAAAGAGGGAGAAGTCAAAGGCGAGGGAGAAGAACTCGTTGTAGATGAAGCCGGTGTAGATGGAGAAGATGGACATGAGCAGGATGACGTAGGGCCCCCCGTACGCCATCTCCGTTATGTCGTCCAGCTTCTGTAAGAGGGGCAGGCAGGGGGGCAGGCAGTGCACAGCGGGATGGTGGGTATGAAGCCGGTGTAGATGGAGAAGATGGACATGAGCAGGATGACGTAGCGCCCCCCGTACGCCATCTCCGTTATGTCGTCCAGCTTCTGTAAGAGGGGCAGGCAGGGGGGCAGGCAGTGCACAGCGGGATGGTGGGTATGAAGCCGGTGTAGATGGAGAAGATGGACATGAGCAGGATGACGTAGCGCCCCCCATACGCCATCTCCGTTATGTCGTCCAGCTTCTGCAGGAGTGCAGGGAAGGAGGGGGGCACAGGAAGGAGGGGGGGAGGGAGGGGGGGAGGTGCAGCGGGTAGTATTGGAGTGGGAGGGGACTCTTCGAGAATTGTTAGAAGGAAAAGGTTGCGGGAGGGAAGGTAAGCCGATTGGGTCAAAATGCCTAAGAACTCAGATGCGTCAACGTCAACCAACGAGCCTGGGAGCCGAGCTTCTTCTCGTTGAGCACGAGGTAGAGAGGGGCAAGCAGCATGAGGGCAGAAGCAAGAAGAGGAGTGCACATGGTCATAGAGCAGCGTGTGCGTGGAACGGTGGGAGCCGAGAAGGAGGAAGGTGAGCAGCACGTGCCTGGGAGCCGAGCTTCTTCTCGTTGAGCACGAGGTAGAGCGAGGCGAGCAGCATGAGGGTGCCGTGGCCCCAGTCGCCAAACATGATGGCGAAGAGGAACGGGAACGTCATGATGGAGAACACGCCCGGATTCGCCTCCTGGTACCGCGCCACTCTGAAAGGTGGGAGAAGGGAGAGTGTGGGATGGGAGTTGCGGAGGCAGGCAGGGGGGATGTCAGGGGATGGTGTGGGGTCAGAAGGATTGAAGGGACGACGTTGTAAAACAGTCATGAGTTCGCAATTGTGTTTCTCACATGAGGAGGACCGTGCACTGCCCCTTGGGTGTGAGCATGGGAATAGGAACACGGGAGGGTTGAGCTCACTCACCCGTAGGCGTCAACAATGGCTTGGAAGGCGGAGGTGAACTTGTTGGTGCGGAAGAAGGTGGGCGGTGCCTCGTGGGAGCGCAGGGTGTGGAAGATGGTGCTCACTGCTGCGTTGCTCGCCGCCATGCCCCGCTCCAACGCCTCCTGCACCTGATGTCGTGAGTCATGCATTGTGTGTGCGTGCCATGTGCCATGCGCGTGTACCATGCGTGTGCGCCATGCATGTGGTAGGTGCGCCGTACATGTGCCAAGTGCCCCAGCCATGCGCCATGTGCCGTGTGCCATGTCCACAATGTGACAGCCCATGTGTCATGCGCCATATAACAAGTGACATGTGCACCATGTGGCCATGGGCCATGGCATGTGCATGCTCACCACATGTTCATGTGCATGTTCCCATGCGCATGATCCCATGTGTGTGTGCATGTTCCCAAGTGTATGTGCGTTTGCCAAGCGCACGTGCCCATGTGCTCAAATCCGAGTGGTCATGCAACAAAAGGGAACAATCAGGGAAGACGGAAAGAGAAGAGGTCAGGTCAGGCTGTCTGCCGCCCCCATTTCGGCTAGTGCACAGCAATTTCACGCTCGGAGAGGGGTTGGATGACGGAGGGAGGAGGCGGGAGGGGGGACATGGGAGGGGAAAGGGCAGAAGAAGGGAGGGGAAAGAGCAGGAGGGGAACGGGGGGGAGGCGGGGAGGCAAGGGAGGGGAAGAGGCTGGCGAAAGAGGGGCAGGGAAATAACGGAAAATGGAGGAACGAAGCCGACGGAAAAGACTGAACAGGAGCACGCAACCACAGACGACCACAAAGGAAGGCAAGGGCAGGGCTAAGGAATCACTCAGTCACAACAACAATTGGGCAGCAGGCGTACCTTGACGAGCGCGGAGGTGGGGCACCAGGCTTCGGCCACGAGGCACTTGCGCGTGACGTCGATGGACAGCTGGTTGAGCACGTGGTACACCGCCTTCTCGTTGCGCACCTGGCCAGAGGAATGCAAGCACGGGGGAAAGAAGATGGGGAGTCGGGAGGGGAGAGGCGAGAGGGGAAAAGAGGGGCGAGGGTTGATAAGGTGAGAGGGGAACGAGCTGGTTGCGCGTGTGGCATGTCGCCTTCCCGTGACGCATGTGATAATGAACAGTAGACAGTCAGGGGAGCTCGAAGGACGTGCGAAGGGGGGAATACGCCTGAATAAGACCAGACATGTGAAGAGGAAAAACAGGAGAATGGGGAAAGGCGTGTTAACTAGGAGAGACGGGAAACGGGGCCCAGAAACCCAGAAAAAAACCAGAGAGGCCTAAAGAGACCCAGGGAGACCCAGAGAGATTTAGAGAGATCCAGAGAGATCCAGAGAGATTCATCCAGAGAGATCCAGAGAGGTTGTGAAGGCCCGGACCAGTGAGGTCCAGCGGTCGACGTAGACGCTGATGCTGTTGAGCACGTTGTCGCGGTGGCGGTTGCCCGCATCTATCGCCGTCTGCAGCTCCCCCAGCCGCCCCCGCACCTGCACGTGTCGGTAGGGGGAGACCAAAGCAGGGAGGAAGGGAGGGATGCAGGAGCGAGGGGGGTGATGCAAGGGTGCAAGTGGGGAGGGAGCGGGGAACACCTCAGAGGAACTCGAAAGGTGAAGTGGTGCACAAGGAACGAAAAGCGAAGGAGAGTAAGGACGTGTCGGAACGAGACAAGAGGGCGAGGACAAAAAAGAGGAAAATTGTGCATGTGGGGAATAAGGGGGCGCGAGTGGGAAAAGGGTGGGAGCGGGGAAGGGCGAAGAGAGGGAGGGGGTGGGGTGGGGAAGGAGAGGGGGAACGGACGAGAGCACATCTCAGAGAGCATCTGCCACACCATGGCGTCAAAAAAAGGTGACTCAAGACTCCTGGGTCGAGACCAAGGTCCCCTGAGTGCAATGGCGTGGCACGGGCGCACCTCAGCGAGCATCTGGCGCTGGCGCGCGGGCTCCTCGGGGAAGGGGTAGCGGTTGGCGCCAAAGGCCTCGCAGATCCGCATGATCTTGGTGCGCGCTCGCTCGCCCGAGAAGAACACCACGAACACCACCTTCTCCACCTGCGCGCGCATTGGGGGGCATGATTGAGGGGGTGGGGAACAGGGGGAGAGGGGGGAGGAGGGGGAGGGGGAATGGCAGGACGAGGGATCGCGTGGGAGGGTTGAATGAGTGAGAAGGAGTGCAACGAAAAAGGGTACTGGCTGGCGTCAAGAGATCCTCGTGATCTTGGTGCAAGCGCGGTCGCCCGAGAAGAACACCACGAACACCACCTTCTCCACCTGCGCGCATGGGGGAGCACGATTCGGGAGGAGGGATGGCACGCGAAGGGAGGGCATGTCGAGGAGCCGCTTGAGAGGTTTGGCCATGGACGCTTAGCCTAAAAGAATCCTACTGTTCTTCAGAATCATGTACCCGCGAGCAGCGAGACAATGTCCACGTTCAGTGAACCCGCCACGTGAATCCGCAACTCTCCCACCCCGCCCAGCGAGCTCACCTGCTCGCCAGTGGCGGGGTCAAGCACGGGCTCGTCCACCACCTCCTGCTTCAGAAACATGTTGCCGCGCGTGGCGCGGAACAGCATTGTCCACATTCAATGAATCCGCAACCGTGCACCCGCAACCTTCCCACCCAGCCCCGCCACCTCACCTGCTCGCCAGTGGCGGGGTCAAGCACGGGTTCGTCCACCATCTCCCCCTTCAGAAACATGTTGCCGCGCATGGCGCGGAACAGCATTGTCCACATTCAATGAATCCGCAACCGTGCACCCGCAGCTGTGCACCGGCGACCTTCCCACCCAGCCCCGCCAGCTCACCTGCTCGCCGGTAGCGGGGTCGAGCACGGGTTCGTCCACCACCTCCTGCTTCAGAAACATGTTGCCGCGCGTGGCACGGAACAGCAGGCGCTCGAACGTCAAGACCTTGCTCAGCGGCACCAGCCCCGTCACGAACCCCAGCCGCTTGCTCGAGTCCGACGCCATCTCCTGGATACAGCAAGCGGGAGGGGAGATGGAGAGGGGAGGGAGGACGAGAGGAGAGAGGGAAAGGGACGAGAGGTGGAGAGGGGGGGAGGGGGAGAGGGGGAGAGGCGGGAGGGGGAGGTGGAGAGGCGCAGGGTGTGTATTGGCCGAACAGGAGGCGTTTGCTCGAATCCGAAGCCATCTCCCTGGAAACAGGGCGGGGGGAGGGGGAAATGGCGAGAGGCGCGGGCAGGGTGTTTATCTGAATGTACAGCGAGGGAAGAAGAAGATGAAGAAGAAGCAGCAAGAATAAACGCGCAACAAAAGCACGGCGAGAGGTCGCACTGGCAAGGGGGGGGGGGGGGGGGGGGGGTACCTGGAAAAGGTGCATCCTACGCAGGGCGCACCTGCTCGAGCAGGAGCGGGCTGTCCATGGATGCGCTCTCGCGGATTGAAGACACGCGCTCGATCACCTGCTGATAGTCCGCCGCGCCCATCTGCGCGCTCGCGAAGAACGACCCCGCCTGGCGTTGCAGACAGGCAAGCGGGTGACGGAGAAAGGAAAAAACGCATAAAGAAAAACGTACTTAGTGCCGAAGTGAGGAGGTACGAGAGTAGGCCTAGGGTGTGGATCTAGGCGTAGGATGAGAGCAAACGATGTATACAGAACGACTATCGGAGGAGTCTTGAGCAATGAGCGGAGTCGCCGAGGGACAGAGAGACCGAGGACCCGCGGAGGAAGAAGTAAGTTCGGGATGCATGAAAGGACGGGGAGGGATCACCCCACATTGTTCACGACATCACGCCACGCCGTATCGAAATCAGTACGGGAATCACTGCAAGTATCATCACCAATGTCGCACCTCGTCGTTATTGACAGCGTATCGCACCTATTCCGGGACGATCACACAACATTCAGAGATCCGTGAGCTCGAGCCGATCACGCGACTTGAGAAGCTTTTCCGCATTACTGATACATTTCATTCCCTCCAATTCCACCACACCCCTCCGGCAACTACCACCCACCATCAACCGACCCCGTATCAGCCGCTCAGCAGCACCTTATCGACCCCTTTTGTCAGCAGCTTATCGGCATTGCTCGCACCTTTTCCAGGACCAGCTTGAGCTCCGTGAGCTCGTTGCGCGTCTTGAGCAGCTTCTCCGCGTTGCCGTTGATCTCCAGCAGCTCCGCCTCCAGATCGTTCAGCTTCAGCTACACCGCAACACGCGCAAGCAAGCAAATGAACAAAAAGGTAAGCACTTGATCAGCGAAAGCGTGCAACCAAACGTGCAGCATCCACGACATTGGCATGGAACTCTCGGATACAAAAATCTATTAGGGAAGATCTGTTGTAATGCGGGGGAAGACAAATAAACTGCTCCGACAATATCGAACGGCCGGTTCGTCTCCGTCTACATTTTCCGTCTAAGGAGACGAACCTCGAGATCATCCAGGTCGAGATCCTTGTCGAGCGTCCGCGGTTGGGTGGGGAGAATCCCAGCCTTCAGCGACTGCTCTTTCAGATACCGCAGCTTGCGAGACATCTCGCCACATCGCTTGACCTGACGCAGCGATCAGAGGAAAGGGGAATAATAAAACAAGGGATGGTTGGCGATTTCAAATTCCGGCGAAAAAATAGGCCGGCGAAAAAATTAGACGTGAAAAAATAGGCCGGCGAAAATCGTTGAAGGAAGGACGAGATAAAAGGAAACGCACCTGGTTCGCATATGTTCGCTGAAACGGGCTCTTGTCCGGGTTCATCTGCGAGACGTGAAACACGGAGAGAGAAGTGAGGCGGAAATGTCGATATGGACTACCTCCTACTGAGAACAAAATCGACTACAAAGCGCAACCCGTAAACGACGGGGAAAAATGTTCCGCTAGGACCCTACGTCTTTAAACTGGACGAGGCCGAGCTCTCCGAGATAAGAAATAGTGTCATGCGCCGCTTCCGCGGGAATAATGAGCTGCATCAGCTGCATTTCCTCGGACCGAAACAGGTCCATCACGGGCTCGGACCCCATGGCTGCCTCTTGAGGAGACAACTCCTTTTTAAGAAACCCTAATGGCTTTAATCTGGACTAAGCTGTGGGAGGCCCCACAGCGCGAATATTCGTAGACTGGAATTACTAGCGCCTGGAATTAGAAGCCTGACCAGCAGAACTCTCTCCAGTCAACCTCAAACCAACGCCAGGGGCAAGCGCTGAAACCAGGAAACCGCGGACCGGACACCAGGGAATTGGGAAACCAAGGTCCTGTAGCTACCAAGCAAAAGCAAGCGGGGGAGAAGGAGAAGCAAGGTCACCTGAAGCCAGAGTGGTACAGTACGGCGGGCTCGTAATCTCTGCTGCACCCATAAAATTTTAGCCACCCCCCTCCCTCCTCCAATCATGCCATGCCATGGCTCCCTCCTCCCCCACCCCCCTGCAAGAATTGCCCCCGCACAGGAGGTACCTCGCGCAAAAATCTGCACATCCTGTTCGCGCGGGAGTGAGGGACAATTGCAGCTGCGCTGACGCAAAAGCCGCGGAAGTGGCGAATAGCTGAGCCCGATGGATGATCCTCCAGCCTCCATTATTCGCCGAGGCACAATCCCGAAATATGTCGAGCCTGTTCAGTATTCTCGGCAACAACGAGCATCTGTTGTTGCCGAAGCTGCTTTCTGGCTCGGAAAATAAGCGTTTTTGCACCATTCGTTTGCACCACTAGTAAGGTCGTATCCCTGCCTAGTGTCAAGAAGTTGGTGGCAAGAAGTTTGCGCACGCGATTGGTCCAAAAAAGACGTCCAGCCAATGCGATTGGTTAAGCGTTTTTTTTTACCAATCGCGTGCGCAAACTTCTTGCCACCAACTTCTTGACACTAGGCAGGGATACGACCTAAGACTCAGAAAGCACAAGCATTTATTGTCAGTCTTCGGCACAAGCATTTATTGTGGCAACACTACTGGTGCTTGGGAAAAAATCGTTCTGAGCCATAAATTTAGGATGGTACCCGTTTTCAAAGACCCAGGAATACATTTACTCGCTAATAATACGGGAGTGCATATTTCAGTGGATACCAAAACTACCCACCAAGCATCTACAAGAAACAAAAGAGGTCGAAACCTTGGCAAACCATTTTGCGTGGCCCTTGGGCAAAGGACCTAAGAACTAGCTAGTAGCATAATTATCCCCGTCTAATCTCGACCTTCGTCCCTCATTCGCCAACGGGGCCGTGTCCTCACAAAGTTGTCTCGACATCATTGAACCAAGAAAGGGCAATGGCGACGATTGGATCCAAGGCCCCCTTATCCAGCAATCGAAAGACCGATACGCGGTGACCCCCCACTTTCGTGAAAGCGGCGACTTTAGCCCCAGGATAGCCACCAGGCTCCCTGTGCGACAGCACCAGAGCTCGATTCTCCCAGGTCTTGACCAATTCCACCATGGATGGACCGAAGTCGAAATTGGACCCATCTTGCTGCATGGGAGGAATTTCATCCACACACACAAAGACGAATGTGTCAAAACGTCAGACACAAGGCAAGGGCATACATAGCGCATTCTTTAAATGCAGCATTCCAGGACAACCATGGTTGACTGAACGTGGAGACTGTGGGTGTTTCGATGGCAAGCCTACCTGGACCGGGGGCGGGGAGATTGCGAGGTAGTTGCTGCAGATGTTGATTCCTACTGGCAGGCCGTTGCTGTACACTCGAGCCTCAGTCTCCGGCCCACACCTGAAATTCAATCCTGGCCTTTGGTTCCACTCGCCGTCACTCGCCTCTGTCACCACCATCATAAGAACCTCTCCCGTCAAGCCGTGCTGCATTCCGAGGCAAGAGGAGCAATACAATGGCAAGAGCACAGTCAGGCAACATTGAACAGTGAGATGCTGTTGAGATGGGGCCGTCGAGGGGCACGCTAACAGCTGAGTAAATAGCACGGTGAATCTTGAATTGCGATTAGACAAGGATCACCAGAGAAAATCATTCCATCAGCCACCTTGGCTATAGACGATAACAGAAGAGGAAGGAACAGAAGGGCAAGACTACCACATCCACATCCACAGGAAACACGCACCCTGATGTTCGCCGCGTTTTGACCTCGGAGGTACTCCAGGCGTAAGAGCGGGCGAATCTGCAGCCAAAAACGATCACGGAAACAAATAAAATAAAGTACCTATTGAAGATAAAATAGGTATCGTAAAACCGAGCACATGGTTGTTCTCGGCGGCGTGAAGAAAAGTTGGCTCTTACATCCGTCCATGTATTTTCACCATTGCACTCTCTAAACCCGGCCAGCAGCCATTAAGTCGTCCCTTTCGCCTTTCCCCAACCTGCTTACGGGTCCTAGAGTCTCCCCCCTTGATTTCCTGCTCATCTGCCCGATGGCTCTCGAGTCTCTTTCTTCATATGTTTAACGCCGTGGGGTCGGTTCGTCCCTCTCGCCTTTCCTACCCTGCATTCCGGTTGTCTATTCCTCACCCACTTGACGCATGTGACGTCTCTCCTGTACGTAGATTCGTCGCCGGCTAAACATGAAGTTCCTTATCTCACACGTTTACCGGCTTTGAAGATTGTCCCCTCACCTGTTTAACAGCTCTGAAGTCTTCGGCTGACAGGTCGCCCGAGTACACAAGGCGGTCGTGGCTCATGGCGCCGCGCGCTGGGAAGAGAGTGACCGAGTTGTGCGCATTGCTGAGGGCGTAAAACAGGAAGAACAGGGAACAGCGAGACGAAGGGTTATAAATGTTAGTGCTAGTTACAATAACTGAATTCTGACCAGTAGGACTGAGCACGAAAGGAGTGGTTGAAGGAACTGGAAACGGTTGGGCGGCTTACCCGAGGTTCTCTCTCAATACCGACAGCACCACTGGCTCTGCTCGATGCTTCTTCGCCTGAAGCGAGACGAGAACGTCACACGGAAAAAGGGCGAGAGAGCGGAAAGAGGGAATGAGCGGATGCTGATAGAGTTACGAAACTCAAGAAGTTATATTTTTTGCTGTAAATGTCTACTGCAAATTTGTTTGTCTATAGGTGGAGCAGTACAGCAAGAGATGACTAGAATTGTTTCCCACTTACATGTTCGATTGTCTCCAAGGGACTGATCTTCGACAACAGTAACCCCATCTTTCAGCCTGCCCACGTTTTCGATGCTTCTTAGACAATAGCGTGCTTTGACGTCAAGTAAGACACAGTTGTCTATCTCTGCAATTGATTGGCGGTGTAAGTTTAGCAGAGATGTTTGACACTCCGCCCAAATCGACTTTTAACTGCAAATTACTTCAGGGAGCCAGCTAACTACTCCCTTCAAACGACGCAGGGAGAGGGTCGTTCAAAGGTAGGCTAAAGACGTCACGCTCGTCACGCTTCACCCGAGCTTGAACCGGTTTCCTGCGCTACCTCTCCAAGTCACTGCTCGAACCTGAACAAATTACAAGCCACGACTATAGCAGCTCTGGCTCCGTGGGCGTCCACCAACTCCTGCTCCTATAAGCCTGCAAGGGTCTGAAGTCTATCAGTCAGTGGGAACTAACCAGTGAAAAAACGTAACTCAAATTGTTTGAAGACTCGCAAAACTCCTTTGTGGTAAACCTGCGGATTCGTTTCTGTTGATTCCTGGGTATGATCATGACTCTGCCTGAGTCCCTCCTGTCAACCATCCTGTCCTCGGCTGATGGGGTGTGGAGGAGGGACACATCCGTCTGCAACCAGCCAAGGTGGTGGTGTGAGAGGGGAGGAAACACCCGGCGGTTCGGGTCAGGTCAGGTACTTCTACCTAGCCGTTGGTCAACTGAATTGCGCGGGACACTGACATTTCGTCAAAGCCGCCACCCTCGCGGCTCGAATCGCCGGCTTGCTGACATGGCCACATCAACGCTACACCCAATGAGAACAAAAAGTAAGGTATAAAAGCCCTTACTCCGCGGAACAACACCATAAAAGGTAATATGTAAGTATTTACTGCACTTACCCCTGTTATAGGCCAGTTTTTGAAAGGATGATAGGGAAAAAACGTTTTTTTCCACTCAGCATTTACATTACAATGTTGCCTACGATAGTGTTGTCACATAAGAGTCCAAACTACTTATGAACAACTCGCATCTGTACAAATGAACAAACAAGATCATAGACAAGGGGGGAGGGGCAAGGGGGGGTCAACGGTTAGTATGGCGTATCTCCCTACCTCTAGGTGGATTACATAGCAAAAAAACTGAATGAAGCATAACACAGCAGCAACCACCCACCCACCCACTCTAGGCCACGCTTGGGGATATCTCATCCAACACCTCACCCATCTGCATGTTCCTTTCTTGAACCTGTTCCATATGCACTACCTTCTTCCTTCTCCATCCCTCATACGGGTACATTGGAGGCGGACAGTGATCACATTATTTTAGTTCGAGCAAATTTAGAGACGGCACGCTTGATGTGTCATCATGCATGCACCAAGTGTGTGCAAATTTATTTTCTTAGTTTCTCACCATCCCCCATCCAACACCCTCTTCATTCTGCTCTCTGACATACCTGAATGGTTCGCCTGGCACATAAAGAGGGTTCTTAATGACGTATTCAACGTATATGTTGGTGTATATGTGCTTCAAAGAATCCCGAAGGTCGCTCATCTTCGGATCAGTTACTAGTATTATCTGCAGTTCAAAAACCATAGACAAAGACAGTCCATAACAAACTTGCCAAGTAAAGAAACAATTCCAGTTACTGAAAGTGGCAGGACCCTTTGGGGAAAAAAAAAGAGAGAATAAGAGCCACCATAAACACTGAAGTCTATAAGAGAAAGCATAGCATCGGAGAGTGCATAGCATTACAAAACTTGCCTTAATGCCTGAGGGGGTCTCAAGGTAGTTCAGCTTGTAAGTGTTGGTGCGGAAGGACTGGAAGGAGCAGCCGTCGCCTGATGCACCACTGACAAGGACATCAAATTAAACAAGCCCACACAAGGGAAAAGAATGGAAATGGGGAAGAACGGAGTGGGGAATGAAAAGAGAGCAAGACAGAGGAAGAATGCTGACTGGAATGCGAACGTGGGTATAGCCGGGAGCTTGACGTAATCTAGCCGTTCGGATACGGTAGTAGGAGCTGAAATTAATCGTAAGACTGCTGGGATGAGACATGGAGGCATTGCACGCAGGGCCCCCCATCTGCGGTTGTACAGAAGAAACAGTGGTTCGCGCTTTCAAGAGGATGAGATTCAGGGTGACACCAAAGAAGCAGTAGACAGACGAACGCGGGGTTGCGCACTGAATAAGATCCATTTCCGGTTGGCAGCGGAGAATCAGCGTACTTCACGGGATCCATTTTGGCGGTGAAGGAGCGGAGGGAGAAGACGAGCCCGAACATGAGCTTGTGGTCGTCCGTGTTCGGCGGGTTCGGACGGTACCATTCCCGATAGAAGATGCAGCCGTTGCGATTAAAGACGTAAATCATGTTTATTCGCGAGTTACCCTTCACGCCGTTACCGGCGGCGCCGCCGACTACGCTCAACATGATCTCTCTACGGACAAAGACGCGTAGCCCTCAACAGTTGCCAATACACATCCGAGAACAAAGTAAAAGAAAAAACCAATCACGACACCGTGACCGGCAGCAAAGGGTGGCACGGATGCTATGTCGTCCGATGGAAACTACTGCTGCTTGCATTCGAGAGGCAACGCAGTATCTGTCCGTGTCGGCAGCACGTGACAGGACCTAGGTCTGCTGGATAGATGCCGGGAAAAGTAGGAGGAAAACATGTGAACGGTTATGCTGTTATTGAAAGGTTCGCTTTTCTTTATTACTGAATAAAAACGCTGTAGTTGGAGGATAGTAGGATACAGACAACTTGTGTCTGCTTCTCGCTTTTGCTCCTTGGCCTCCCTCCCGCCTTTTTGACCGCCTTGAAATTTGCTCAACACAGTCGACCCAGTCAGTCACTCTCTCGGACCTCAGTGCTTGCTTGCTCCTATCGTTCTGCACGCAACCAGCCACTCTGCTGCAGCCTTGCTGGAGACCCAGTAAGAAGGCATCGCAGATTCGGTTCGTGCGCGGGCCTGTGCACGCAAGCCTCGGTGCTCCTTGTGACGCCGATTCCCGTATCGCAGTGGGACCCAAGTCGTCCAGTTGTCTGACCTAAGCTCTAAGACGTTTCAAAACTCGACTAGTCTATTCACTGGCCTCGATCAAGGCCCATGCTCCTTCGCACCGCTCCCGTCATTCGCTGATCCCTGAGTGCCAGCTACCATCGCGCAAAAGTTCAAAATTCTAGCCGACTTAGGAAAGTCACCGCGTTGATACTCACTGCTGCCTGCCGTCCGGCCGCCAGCCAGCCCTGAAACCTCGTTATGGCGACGTTCGGAACAGTCACAGCGACGCAGCCGCACAATCCCAACAAGGATATCGAGGTACCGTTTTCCACGCAAGCAAACGAGCAACCCCTTCCGTATGGTCATTGCACTTTATGCTTCAACTCGTTGAAGTTTAGGGTCTGCTTGCTCTCAGTACGCGAGGCGGCCGTCGCCTCCTTGCCGCGACAAGCCTCGTCGTCGCCCGCGGATCGCTCTAGCGAGTCTCGCGACCCCGCACGCTGAGCGACGTTCGATTAGGGTTTCATATTAGAGCGAGCACTGGGGGCCGCATTCCGGAGGGGAATGGGGGCTTAGTCGGCGTGGATGGAGGCGCTTGATTGGGTGTGAGACGGGCCTGATATCTTCCCTGTTGTCGATACTTTTCACCAACTTCCCCTGTCATCTCACCCCTGTCATCTCCCCCCTGTCATTTCCCCCTGTCATTTCCCCCTGTCATCTCCCCCTGTCATCTCACCCCTGTCATCTCCCCCCTGTCATTTCCGCCTGTCATCTCCCCCTGTCATCTCCCCCTGTCATCTCCCCCCTGTCATCTCCCCCCTGCCTCACGTGTGCCTGTCCATGCCTGACGTGTGCCTGTCCATGCCTGACGTGTGCCTGTCCATGCCTGGCGTGTGCCATTCACGTGTCTGCAGGTGGCCCAACCCCCCAATGATGGCATCTCCAGCATGTGCTTCAACCCCAAGGCCAACTTCCTCGTTGCCACGTCATGGGACAACCAGGTGACGTGTCGCTGCCATGCTACTTTCTTATGGTAACCAGTTGTTGCTCGTGTGTTACCTGGTTGGGGTAACAATGTGAGCTGGTTTGCTGTCGTGTGTTACGTTTTAACAAGCGTCCTCACACCCTCAACAACCCTTGTCCATCCGCTCCTCACTCCCATACCCACCCTGTCACCACCAAGTGAGGTGCGGTGCGGTGCTGGGAGATCCAGTGCAATGTAGCCAGTGTGGCCACGGCTTCCCTTCTCCCCTCTCTTCCGTCATAATCCCACTCCTTCTCGCCACTCAAAACCTCCATCTCATCGCCTCCATGCCACCAAAATTTGCGACCGGGAATTTCAGGGCAGTAGAGCCAGCCCTTGGCTTCCCGTCTCCCCGTTCTTCCCTCACCCTCTCCTCTCCACTCTTCCATCTCCTCGTCTCCCCGCCGCCCGCCACCAGGTGCGGTGCTGGGAGATCCAGGGCAACGGAGCCAGCGTGCCCAAGGCTTCCCTTTTCCCCGTACCTCCCTCATAATTCCTTCTCATTGTCTCCACTCCACTCCTCCATCTCCTCTCCTCACGGCCTCCCTGCTGCCACCAGGTGCGGTGCTGGGAGATCCAGGGCAACGGAGCCAGCGTGCCCAAGGCAGGAACAGCACATGATCAACCCGTGAGTGCCATCCATCCCTTTCTTGACAGCCCTCTCCGCTCTCTGCAAGGCTTCATCCCCCCCTGGTTTCCGTATCCTTTCAACTGTGCTTCTTTCTCCTCCACTTTCTGTTTCTTGCTCTCCGCTCGCTCTCCTCTCTCCATTCTTCTCCCCTCCTCCCCCGCTCAGGTGCTCTGTTCAGCATGGAAGGATGATGGCACGACAGTGTTCTCAGGGGGCTGCGACAAGCAGGCCAAGATGTGGCCGCTCATGTTCTATGCTCCTCCGCTCTCCTGATTTGGCCCCTGACGTCAGCATCAATGCTCCTCCGCTCTCTCCTTTCTCTTCCTTTCTCTCAGGTGCTCTGCTCAGCATGGAAGGACGATGGCATGACCGTGTTCTCAGGCGGGTGTGACAAGCAGGCCAAGATGTGGCCGCTCATGTCGGGGGGAGCGGCAAGCACGGTGGGCGTGCACGATGCTCCTATCTGCAAGATGGCGTGGATTGCCGAGATGAGCCTGCTCGTTACTGCCAGCTGGGATAAAACGATCAAGTGAGTATTGGGGTAGTCTAATTCATGCACCACGTTAGAGGGTTGTAGGTGAATTGAGAGCACGGTGGGCGTGCACGATGCTCCCATCAGCAAGATGGCGTGGATTGCTGAGATGAACCTGCTCGTCACCGCCAGCTGGGACAAAACAATCAAGTGAGTGAGAGGGTTGGTTTGGGAATGCGTCAGATGGGCATAGGTGATCAAAATGGCGTGAGCCTGCTCGTCACCTCCAGCCAGGATAAGACTATCAAGTGAGTGAGGGGGTTTAGATGTCAAAGAGCGTGACAAGCAACAAGGTGCGAGTTTGGAGAGGAGGATCAAGTGAGTGACCCACTTGTAATCTCTGAACCACTTGTAATCTACCGATTAATACTAGTACGTTTACCTACACGTGTTCTCGCCTAGTACTCAGTGACTTTTCCTCTCAGATTAGTTAGTCGGTCAAACCGAGCTTGCAGCTTTCTACCCGTTTTCTCAGTTTGAGAGTTTAGATGTCAAAGAGCGTGACAAGCAAGCAACAAGGTGTGCGAGTTTGGAGAGGACGATCAAGTGAGTGACAAGGCCTCGATAGGAATAGGTGGTAACGTGATTGGGGGGGCAGTCTAATTCAATCCATGTTTCACATTGTTACTTCCCTTCCCCCCGCCACTTCACCACCATCATCCGCTATCAGGTACCGTACTGGGGCACGCGTCAGGCTACCCCTGCCCCGCCCACACACAGGCACAAACTGACATCAGGGTTGACTCACGAGTCTCTTGTGTCCCGCCCCTCCCCACCTCCCGCCTCCCCCCCTCCCCCCTCCCCTGCCATCCATCAGGTACTGGGACACGCGCCAGGCCACCCCCGCACACACTCAGGCACAAACTGACTTCAGGGTTCACGAGTCTCTTGTGTCCCGCCCCTCCCCACCTCCCGCCTCCCCCCCTCCCCCCTCCCCTGCCATCCATCAGGTACTGGGACACGCGCCAGGCCACCCCCGCACACACTCAGGCACAAACTGACTTCAGGGTTTACTCACAAGTCTGTTGTCTCCCGCCCCTCCCCCCGCCACTCTCCCCCCCTCCACCCCCCTGCCATCAATAGGTACTGGGACACGCGCCAGGCCACCCCCGCACACACACCGGCGCTGCCCGAGCAGCCGTACAGGCTGAGTGTGCGACACCCCCTCATGGTGGTGGCTACCGCTGATGCATACGTCCCCACACCCTCTCCTCCCCCACCCCTGCTCGCCTCTGCCATCAGGTACTGGGACACGCGTCAGGCCACCCCCGCCCACACACAGGCACAAACTGACTTCAGGGTTTACTCACAAGTCTGTTGTCTCCCGCCCCTCCCCCCGCCACTCTCCCCCCCCCCCCCCCCCCACTCTCCCCCCCTTCCCCCACCCCCTGCCTTCCATCAGGTACTGGGACACGCGCCAGGCCACCCCCGCCCACACACAGGCGCTGCCCGAGCGGCCGTACGCACTGAGCGTGCGACACCCCCTCATGGTGGTGGCCACTGCTGACCGCCACATCATTGTGTATAACCTGGCATCGCCACAGGTGAGTGAGGAGGGGGGTTTGATTGCTTTCAGAGGGAAGTGGTGTGGTGGCCACTGCAGACCGCCACATCATCGTGTACAACCTGGCGTCGCCCCAGGCGAGGCACAGGAGGAGGGAGTGGGAGCGATAGATGGGGTGGCGGAGGGAGGGTTTACAAGCTGATTACAAGTCGGGACATTCTGTGTGGCAGCCTTCCCTGACAGGAGCTGGTGATATTGCCTTCTCTTACCCCCCCTCCTTCTGTGTACCAGACGCGCTGTGTGGCGACCTTCCCCGACAGGAGCAGCTACCTGGTGGGGTCCATGGGTGGGTGTCGGTGCAGCACGTGGAGGAGAACCAGCAGCCCCTCCCCTCCCTCCCTCCCCTCCTCCAACCCTTCCTTTCCCCACCACCCTCCAAGAACAGCACTCATAGCAGCACCAGCCTGGTCCTCTGATCCTCTCCTTCCCCTCCCTCCCCCCCACCAGACGGAGTACAAACGGGTGATCTCGCCCCTCAAGTACCAGACGCGCTGTGTGGCGACCTTCCCCGACAGGAGCGGCTATCTGGTGGGGTCGATAGAGGGGCGCGTGGCCGTGCAGCACGTGGAGGAGAACCAGCAGCAGAAGAACTTCACCTTCAAGTGCCACCGGGATGGGAATGACATCTACGCCGTCAACTCCATTGACTTCCACCCGGTGCGTGAGACGACTGCCTGGTTGACTTGCGTTGACTTGTGTTGACGTTTACCTGGTCTGGTGGGATGGTCCGTGTGCTGTTGGGCTGTGTGTGGCCGTGAGAGGAGAAGAGAACCAGCAGCAGAAGAACTTCACCTTTTAAGTGCCATCGGGATGGAAACGATGTCAACGCTGTCAACTCCATTGATTTCCACCCGGTGATGCGACTGCCTGGTTGAATTGCGTTGACCTGTGTTGACTTTTGTTGACTTGTGTTGACTTGTGTTGACTTGAACACATCTGTGCTATCAATGCTCTTGACTTCCGCCTGGTGAGGTGCCTGCCTGGTTGACTTGCGTTGACTTGTGCCCTGTCAGGTGCGCCTGGTTGACTTGCATTGACATTTTCCTCGTAATGTATGCCTGGTTGACTCGTCCCCTTGTCCATCTCCCTCAGCTGCCCCAGTCTCTTCACTCTCTCTTATCATCCTCCCCCTTGCCGTGTCCTGCCCTTTCCACCCCGACTGCTGCCGCTGCATGCAGCAATTTGGCACGTTCGCAACAACGGGGTCGGATGGGGCATACAACTTCTGGGACAAGGACAGCAAGCAGCGCCTCAAGGTATGTCACTCTGCCGTGCTGTGCCTGTACATCACTAAGGATGGGATAGCATTATTTTCACTCATGCTTTTTCGTTCCTACATTCTCTTCTCCACCTCTGTGAAGCCCATTGGCCAGGAGGTCGAGCCGACGTTTATTTGCTCAGAGTATTGATTTGTTTTTCAGACGGCAATTTCACCCTTTCCACTGCCCTGTGCCCACCCCTTCAACTCCACCAGGCCATGCAGTGCTGCAGCCTGCCTACCCTACATTCACCTATTAAGTTCCTCCCTCTGCATTCCACTGCTCTGCACCACCCCTTCGAACCCACCAGGCCATGCAGCGCTGCAGCCTGCCCATCTCCTGCAGCGCCTTCAACCACGACGGCACCATCTTTGGATATGCTGTGAGCTATGATTGGAGTAAAGGGGCGGAGAACCACAACCCTGCAGTAAACAAGAACTACATTCTTCTGCACGCAACCCAGGTACAGTATCCCCTTTCTAGCTGCTATTACACCACATGCACACAGACCTAAGCAAGGGCTTTTCCCGAGAATGTGTTTCTGATGTGTACTTGCCTGTATTCACCTCTGCCAATTCGTTTTGTTTGCTCAACAGGAAAGCGAAGTGAAGGCTAAACCGAAGTCGACCACCACCACAACGAGAAGATAGTGCAGTAAAGTTCCTTTTGAGAATCCTAGGGAAAGTTGTACCCACAATTGACCATTATAATATAGATGATAATAAAAGCTTTGTATTTCGATTAATAAATCAGCTGCTTGTAGTGAAAGCCGAGTACATGAATTTATTGTACACCGACTTCAACAGCACACGCAACCTGTGCTGGCCGAACGTTCTCGACGACACGTCGTTTCTCGAATCTGGCATTGCCACGTCGTACGTGCCACGCACCCTTTGCTTTCCACCTCGAGAACATTTCTGCCACGTGGCATGTGCATTTCCCCTTCACCTTTCCAACCTTCCCTTCCCCCTCGAACTTATCCGCACTGACAAGTTTCTCAAATTGGTCAAAATCTTCAGATTGATTACTACTTCGCTGCCTCTTGTGACGCTGCTCCTCCTACGGACACCTGCTGTTAGCTTGTTCCGGGCTCGTCGCGGCGCTCCCCAGGTGCGATCTCAGCCGTTGAGACAGATCTGAAGCTCGGAATGGCTCAAGCACTTAGCGGCTCAGCCTTTGTAGTTTCACATTTCGCTGTTCCCACAGCTGACCTGTCGACCCATCTCCGTAAAGGACCAGTGGCTGCCACGTGGCACGCTACTGCAACAGAAGGCGTTGCGGCCCGGGCTTCCGCTCTTCCAGCACTGCGTGCTCGACACGCGACCAGAGGAGCCACGTTGAGAGCTCGCGCCTCGACGCCAGTGGATTATGACTCCTCACAGGTACTTTTTGCGTCGAACGCTCTTGTAGTGGCTGGATGAAATTTTGATGTCGATCAATGTTTGTTTTGATTCATTGCATACACGTCTTTCGAGCGTCAAGACCAATAATGAGCCGAACTGAGAACCGAACGAACCGACGATTGGAAACGATCTTCCCCATTCCCCTCCGTGCGGCTAAATAATGTACTGACTACTCTCAGCGACTTTCCTTCCCGGCGTACCAGAGTCTCAAGCCAGAAGAGTTTCTATTCGTATGACATATTTTTTTATATAGTTTACGAGAGGCATCTTCTACCGCGGACTCGGAGCTCATTTGATCCAATCAACAACTTTCTGTTTCTTCCGTAGGCTTCTGCATAAACCCCACTTCCCACTCACCCATTCTCCGCTCCCACTCTCCCTCCCCCCCTTTGCCATCCCCCTTGTTCTCCACATTAGGAGGCAACGGAAGGTGACGAGGCCGAGGCTGCCCCGATGAGGATCGACCGCAGTACGAAACGGGTGGCGCACGCGTACCAGTAGGAGCACCGAAGCTTCTGAAGCTTCCCCTCTTTCTCCCACTTTCCCCCTCTCCCTCCACTCGTCCACTCCCCCTTCACCAGGAGACGGAGGAGGAGCAGGCGGAGCCCGCTCCGCTTTCCATCGAGCGCATGCGGAAGCAGGCGGCGAACGCATGCCAGTCGGTGGACGAGGCTTCTGAATCCCCCTCCCTTTCCCCCTCCCTTTCCCCCTTCCCCCCCCTCTCCGCCTCCTCCGCTCTCTCCCCCTCCCCCCTCCCCCCTCCCCCTTGTCTCCCTCCATTCACCGACACCAGGATGCGACCGAGACGGAGGAGGAGGGAGCAGAGTCAGCGCCGCACTCCATCGAGCGCATTTTGAAGCAGGCGGCGGACGCGTACCAGTCGGAGGACGAGGCGGCGGTGGCGACGGTGGAGGCGCAGCTGCGCGCCATGGAGGCCGACCGCAAGGGCCTCGCGGACCGCCTCGAATCGCTCACGACCGAGGTGAGTTCGCGCCCGAGGTGGGCGCGCTGCAAGGCGCTGTGCTCACTGGCGAGGTGGGGTGACGGGCGAGGTGGGGTGACAGGCGACGTGGGGTGACGGGCGACGTGGGGTGACGGGCGACGTGGGGTGACGGGCGACGTGGGGTGACGGGCGACGTGGGGTGACGGGCGACGTGGGGTGACGTGCGATGTGGGGTGACGGGCGAGGTGAGCTCGCACCTGGGACCTAATTCTTGGGCAGCGGAGGAGGTGGTGTGAGGGTTGTGATTCCAATCTGAGCTCCTTTCTGTCCCTCCTCCCCCCCTTCCCCCCACTCCCTTTCCTCTGATTTTCTCGTTCCGATCCTCTTCTCTCCTCCACCTTATCCGTCTCCTTCCTCTTCCTCTTCCCCTTCCCCTTCCCCTTCCCTTTCCCCTTCTCCCTCCCCGACCTCTTCCTCTTCCTCCTCACCTTTCCCTTACCCTTCCCCTCCCCCCCTTACCCATTTCCGTTCTTTTTCACTTCACCTTCCCTTTCCCATTCCCCTCCCTTTCCCCTTCTTCCTTTTCTTCCCCTTCCCCTCTCCCTCCCCTCCTCCCTTCTCCTCTCCCGCCCCATCCCCACTCCCTTCCCTTCTCCTTCCCTCTCCCCCTCCCGCTCCCCCCCCGCTGCCCCCTTCCGCTTACCCACACCGTCCACCTCCAACTTCCCATCCCTGGGCCTCCAACGACCCTCCAGTTGCTTCAACTCGCAATGGACAGGGTCTGCCTTCTGCGGCCCCCATCTTCTTCTCCCCAGATTTCTCCCTTTCTCCCTGTTTTTTCCGCCCACCTTTGGCCCCTCCCCCTCCCCTTCCGACAGATCTCGACAGCCAAGGACCGTTTTCTTCGGCTGAACGCGGATTTTGACAACTTCAGGAAGCGGTCGGAGCGGGAGAAGCTGGCGATGGCGGCGACTGTTATACTTCCCATTCCCCAACTTGTTTCCCCTTTGTCTTCCCGCTTCCCCTTCCCCTTCCACCAGCTCTCAACAGCCAAGGACCGCTTTCTGCGGCTGAACGCGGATTTTGACAATTTCCGGAAGCGGTCGGAGCGGGAGAAGCTGGCGATGGCGGCCACGGTGCGCAGCGACGTGGTGGAGGCGCTGCTGCCCATGATCGACTCGTTTGAGCGTGCCAAGGACAGTGTTAAGGCGGAGACGGAAGCTGAGAAGAAGATCGACGGTGCTTACCAGGGGATCTACAGGCAGTTTGTGGAGATGCTGCGGGGGCTTGGCGTGGCTGCCGTGGAGACGGTTGGCAAGGAGTTTGACCCCAATGTGAGTCTCATGGGAGTGTGAGTTTGGCACGAATGTGAGTTTGATGGGAGTGTGAGGTTGATTACAATGTGAGTTAGGCATGATCACCCGAGACTGGAGACATGGTAACAATGCACACCTCCCTCCTCTCCTCGTCTCCCCACCACCAGGTGCACGATGCCATCATGCGGGAAGACTCCACAGAGTTCCCCGAGGGGGTGGTCACTCAGGAGTTCCGCAAGGGCTTTGTCATCGGGGAGAAGCTCATCCGCCCCTCCATGGTCAAGGTCTCCGCTGGCCCAGGGCCCGCTGGTGCTGGTGAAGCTGCTGCTGCTGATGGTGCTGCTGCTGCTGCTGGTGATGGTGTGTCGGATGGGTCGGAAGCAGAGGGTGGGGAGAAGTCGGAGTAGGCTGTGCTAATGGTCAACAGCAGGAGAGCAATCAGCAGGGGAATCTCATAAAGTGAATGCAACGGAGTGTTTGACTTAGGAGAGCAAGGCATACAAATAGAAACCCTAAGAGTGTTGTACACCCGAATGCTACTCACTGCAGCCTACAACCAATAACAACATGTGACACAACCCCGTAGGCTAAGTGAGGGGCATCAAAGCAAGCATGGTGAACAAACAGTCATAAGACCAGTCAAAGCAAGAAACCAGGCAAGCTCAGGGTGGATCTCAAGCAAATTCCGAGCGCAAGCAAGCGGCCACAAGGCCAGTTCAAGAGTTCTCTAGGATATATATATGAAAAACACAACAAGCAGAGCAAGCAACAAGACTACAGCAACCGAGGGCCTACCTCAACAAGCACACAAAACCTGTGGTGATCACCAAGCGCCAAGTCCTTGGTGAAGACGTCTGCAGTGTTGGCCTTTGAGGCCACAAAGTCCAGGCGTGCCTGGCCGCGTCGCTACAGCTCTCGCAGGAGGAAGTACCTCACGTCAATATGTTTCACTCTGCTCTCCAGTCGAGGCTCTCGACACAGGAGGATCATGGCCTTGTTGTCAGCGTACAAGGTCGTTGCAGAGCAAGGCCGCTCACCAAGGTCGGCGAGCAAGAAGGTCAACCAGCGAAGCTCCTGAGCCGCCATGGCACCAGCGTAGATCTTTGCCTTGTCAAACTATGTTTCTCTGTTGTAGGCTGTAGTGGGGTAGCCTATACTGAGTACAACACTTTAGGGTTAGACATTGCCCTACTTGTACTCATCCTTGCTTCCTAGTCCATCATTCTTGCCTCTTGATTCTGACATGGTTTCAGAGCAGTAGGTCCGTAGGACCGTTTTTTTTTTTTCGGGCCCACCTACCGCTACCCCACGACTGTGACTGTGACTGACTTTGCCTGTGACGTGCTGCGCTGCGCGCGCCGTCTGCCTGCTGTCTACTGTCTGCTGACTGCTGCTTCGCGCGCAGACCTAATTTTCAAGTGCTGCCTCGTTTTTACCCCCGCGGGTCGTCCTCTCCTGCCCGAATCGCGCCTCGGCAGCCGCGTCGCGTCCCGCGCACGGCCCGCGCAGCCCGCGTCGAGCCCGCGCAGCGCGCGCGCGGCCCGCAGCTGCCCCGTGCAGCCCGCCCCGAGCCCACGCGACGCGCGCACGGCCCACACCTGCCCCGCGCGGCCCGCACCGAGCCCGCGCGGCGCGCGCGCGGCCCGCCGCTGCCCCGCGCAGCCCGCCCACAGCCCGCGCGGCGCGTCCGTGGCCCGCAGCGCGCTGCGCGCCGTCCGCGCAGCCCGCGCCGCGCTCTACCCACCAGTGCGCGGCCCCAGGCAGCGGCGCGCGCCACCCTACCGCCGCCACGGACTCGCCCTACCGCCGACATGGTCCCACCCTGCCGCTGACACGACCCGGCCTTACCGCTGACACGACCCGGCCCCGCCCTGCCGCTGACTCGACCCGGCCCTTCACTGTAGCCGCTGCTGCGGCCCCGCTGTCGCCGCCGTCGTGCGCCGACCCTGCCGCCGTCCGCCGAGAACCGGCCCTTCTCGCCCGGTGAGAGCCTGCTCTTCCCGCCACTGGTGAGCCCCTGCCTTGCTAGCGCGCTGCCGCGCTGCCTGCCTGCCTGCCTGCCTGCGTGCCTGTCGCGCCTGCCCTGCACGTACTATGGCTGTTACTGCTGCTACGGCTGTTACTGCTGCCCGAGCTGCTGCTGCTCAGCATGGAGGACGGAGCGACGTTGTCCTCACTGGGCACTCAGACGCTTCTTGGGTTGACGACCAGGCTACGCAGCGGTCGTCACAGGGTTACACCTTCAGCCTTGGTTCTGGTTCGGTTTCGTGGCGCTCTACACGCTCGTCTTCAGTTCTCAGCTCCAGTTGTGAGGCTGAGATCTACGCCACAGCCATGGCTGCACAGGAGTTACGCTGGCTCACCTACCTGCTGACTGACTTGGGAGAGCGGCCTCGTTCTCCTCCAGTGCTGTACGTCGACAACAAGGCAGCCATTGCCTTGTGTGAGGAGCACAGACTGGAGCACAGAACAAAGCACATCGCTCTGCGTTACTTCCTGGCTCGAGAGTTGCAGCAGCGTGGTCAGCTTCGTCTGCGTTACGTGGCCACTCGGGCCAACACTGCTGATATATTCACCAAGGCACTTCAGTCTGGTGATCATCAGCGTTTCTGCACCGTGCTAGGGCTTGTGCCCACTTTTCCTCACTTGCTGTAGGCTTTGCTTGTACTGTGATCTATATATATATACCTGCTTGCTTGCTTTGCTAGGTAGAGATCACTGTGCTGTTTGTGTTGCATATATACCCCTGCATGTGAACTTGCCTTGTGGCCGCTTGCTTGTGCTCAGACTGCGTGGTGATCTTGAGATCCACCCTGAGCTTTGCTTTGCTTTGTTCTCTTGCTTGACCGGTCTTGTGACCTCTGGTTGTTCTTGCTATCCCCCACTTTGCCTATGGGGGTGTGTCAAACTATGTTTCTCTGTTGTAGGCTGTAGTGGGGTAGCCTATACTGAGTACAACACTTTAGGGTTAGACATTGCCCTACTTGTACTCATCCTTGCTTCCTAGTCCATCATTCTTGCCTCTTGATTCTGACATGCCTCTGCACTGGAAGTAGCCACAGACGACGACCGTGTAGACCTCCACGACACAGCACCAGCTCCCAGACTGAAGTAGTAACCCTAAGTCGAGCGCTGAGTCTCCACGTCGTCAACGTAGGAAGAGTCGCAGTGACCAGTCAACGCCACTGGCTGAGTCCCTCCAAGCACAAGCCCCATGCCTGATGTAGTCGCCAGGTACTTCGCCACCCTCACAGCAGCTGTCCAGTGGACAGGACGGTGTCTCCCAGTCGCAACAAAGCGAGAGAGGACGCTGAGGGGAAAGGCGAGGTCCGGCCGAGTACAAGTCATCAGGTACATGAGGCAGCCCACCAGCTCTGCGTAGGGACCACTGGGCTCAAAAGGCTCGTCGGGAAAGGGGCCAGTGAGTCTTTGGTCAACAGCAAGAGGTGTGGGCTGTGTGGTGGAGAACTGGAAGTCGAACCGCCGAAGGACCTGCTACACCATGTGTGACTGCGTCAGTGTGATGGTGCGAGCGGCTCTGTCCCTGGTGATCTGCAGGCCAAGGTAGCGCTGCAGTTCACCTAGGTCAGTGCACGTATGTCTCTTCTGCAGTTCGGACTTCACCTGAGCCAGAGCTGCCCTGTCTGCTGTGGCAAAGACCAAGTCGTCGACGTACACTAGTATAAAGAAAGGAGTGGAACCAGTGCGACCAAACAGCGACGGGTCGGCAGAGGAAGGACAAAACCCAAGGTCACGAAGCGTGGAGCGAAGAGTGTCGTGCCACTCACGGGGCGACTGGCGGAGACCGTAGACTGGCCGTCTTAGGCTCCACTGGGTCCCAGGTGGGAAGGTGTCAGTGAAGCCAGGACGGCGGCGCAGCCAGATCTCCTCGTGTAGTCGGCCCTGGAGAAACGCAGTAGAGAAGTCAAGGGAGTGCAGCTCGTAGTCTCGCTGTGCTGCTACGTGCAGTAACACCCGAAGAGTAGTCATCTTCGGGGTCGGGGCGAAGGTCTGGAAGAAGTCAACCCCCTCACGCTGACTGAAACCCCTAGCCACGTAGCGCGCCTTGAACACAGGCAGTGAACCAGGCGGCCGCTTCACCTTGAAGAGCCACATGCCATCGACTACGTTCGCCCTGGGAGGGGGAACTGCGTCGACGTAGGTGCCTGTGGATCTCCAAGACGCTAACTCCGAGGCCATAGCCGCTTTCCACTGTGAGGCCCACGCCCCTGACACTGCCTCGCGGTAAGTGCGAGGAGTCGGTATGTCAAGGGCGTCGGGGTCTCCCTCAGGGGATAGCAGCATGGCACAGACAGAGGGAGAAGCGGCTGCCCAGTACTCCAGCTCAGACTCTCTGTCCTCTAGGACGTCACAGCCAAGGGCAAACCCACCCCCGACGGACAGAGGACGGGAGGGAGGAGCTGGCACCACACGGGTGGTGTAGTCAAGGCGACTGGCGGCAGCAAACTCAGCGACAGCGGCAGTGAGAGCCGAGACAGACGACGGAGGGAAACGAGAGTCGGTGACAAGAGTGGCGAGGACACGAGAGACAACAGGACGAACAGCGCGGTAGTAGTCAGTGACAGGAGTAGGGGGGAAAGGGAGAGAGGACGGAGGTGGACACGGGAGAACGGACTCAGGAGGAGGACGACGAAGAGACGAACAAAGGAGGGCAGTGCGGAGGTCGGTAACGGGAGACGAGGGACGAGCACGCGGAGGACAGGGACGGACACGAGAGTGCGGGACACCAGGTGGAGGAGACTGCGGTGGAGGAGAAGACCAGACCGCCGGACTGGCGTCAGGAGGAGGAAACATGGGACCAAACGCTGGAGGGGACGGAGTGTGAACAGGAGGAGAGGAGGGAATACCGAGGGCCCGAAGACCACTCACGGGTGGGAACAACTGCCGCTCCAGAGGGAGCTGCTGTGGTCGCAGCTGCGGCGGCGGTGTCTGCTGCTGCTGCTGCTGCTGCTACTGCTGCTGCTGCTCCAGCAGGTCCAACTGCCGCAACTCCTTCCGCTCCCTCTCCAACAGCACCTGCTCCTCACGCTCACGCCGACGGGCCGCCTGGAGACGTGTGTCGTGGCGGTGGGGAGGCGGAGTGGACTCCGCAGAACCAGTGTCTCCTGCTCCAGTCTCCTCAGAACCAGCACCTCCAGTGCCAGCGCCTCCAGCACCAGCATCCCCAGAACCAGCACCTCCTGTGCCAGCACCTCCAGCTCCAGCACCTCCAGAACTAGTACCGCCAGTGCCAGGACCTCCAACTCCAGCACCCCCAGAACTAGCACCTCCAGTGCCAGCACCTCCAGCTCCAGCACCCCCAGAGCTAGCGCCACCTGCGCCAGCACCTCCAGCTCCAGCACCCCCAGGACTAGCACCTCCAGTGCCAGGACCTCCAGCTCCAGCA